ATGTCTGCTGCTGACACCTGGTTCAAGAAGAGGACGCGTATAGTATGGACACTAATTGCACCGAACGCAGGAAAAAGAACAAAATCGACTAGATACTGTTTGACAAGCGTCGCATTATGCAAAATATTTCAGAAGTGGCATTTTTACCACTAGCAGTGACCATCGCCTGCTCAGGACAAGAGTCTTCTAGAACGAAACGAAAAACTAGAGAGCAGGCCTTACAGATGGCGAATCGCAAACAACGATAGAAACAGATCAGTGTCATAGTCCTGTTAACGGTCATTTCCATCGAAGGCTTGAATCTGAAGAAATGCCTGGAGGAGGACTACGAGAGCTATGCCGATAAACTCAGGAGATGCGCGATGGCAGCCAAGCTGGAAAGGCCAGAAAGGCCAAAGAAAGCGACGGAAATAATCTGACAGAAGTCGAAGTCTGCTAGAGAAAACGAGGAAAAGAAGAAAAACGGCAGTGACATGCACAAGCACACCTTTCTCTCTAAGCTCATAAGATGCAAGTATCATAAGACTTTGAGAAATTTCGAAACAAGAAACTGATTAAGATGGCTCAAGTCTCCAGAAGCTTAATCAAATAAAAAAAGGAACTGACGTTGCACACATCAACTGTCGCAGCGATGAAGAATAAAGACGTGAAACAATATCAGACAAAACTGGCATGGAAACGATCTGTAGGACTTTATACTTAACGCTCCTGATTTCAAGGCTAAGCATCCCAGTACCAACAGTCCAGCCATCGACAAAGAGTACATTTCCTATTCTTGCAAAGTGAGCAAAGTTCGGCATGCAGGTTACCAGATGAAAGGAAGAAAGGTTCCAGGAAGAGATGGACTGATAAATGCAATGATGAATGCAGGAGGGCAGAAACCCTGAGAAGCTCTTGCTCAAAGGTTCAGTGGATACTTGGAAACGAAAAAAAATTTCATCGTACTGGAAATAATCTATTATGATTTTGATACACAAGATCTAAAGAACCATCGCCCAATATAGCGGCTCTCGCATGTCTATAAGGCGTTCATTAAGACAATTGCAAATGCACTGTTAACGATTCTGCATGAACAGCAACCGAAAGAACAGGCCCAGTTCAAAATAACATGAGCACAATGGACAAAAGTTTCACTGAGCTAACTACTAGAGCGCTTGAGGGAGCATAACAGAAAAAAATGCGAGACAGACCGCAACATAGGTAGCGGTTCAGCACTCAGATAAAGTTATATCGCATCGTGTTTAGTAGTATTTACGACCGATCAGAATCAACGCAATAACAGAAGAATTCAGTTTCATTTTAGTCAATGGAAATAAATACTGTAAGAGGCTTTTCTAGGCAGGCCGTTTCGACTCCCCGAACTCCAAGTGTGATCCGATCTTTGCCCGATACCACTGCCAAATATACGACCTGCAGGACAAATCGCATACCGACTTTTCGAGAAAACAAGATTCGTACTTATCAGAATTCCGCTCTCCACAAATATACCCAAAAGCATGACGGACACGGACAACAATCACAATAAGCGATGACGTGGCAAAGGGAAGAATTGTAGCGTGGGTGAAATGTATTCTTCCCAGGTACTATAAAAATCGTGAAGACCCGTCAAATTCCTGAAAAGGGTCAAGTTGGCAAACCACATGGCAACTGCCCTATTGCAACTCCTTTTACGAGAACTACTTTCGAACAGAAAACGTGGAAGAGAGGGTTTCAGGCCACGGTCCGTAGTAAAACCGAAAAACGGTGCAGAAAATCATCACGCGCTTACCCTCTGGACAAAAAATGGCGTTATGCCTTTCTTTGCGATCCCTGTAAGGCTGAATCTGCAAGTGGCAAGAAAAGGAATTGAAGGTTGTAATCGTAGGGACGTCAACATTTGCTCAACTTCCATGAAGATCGCCATTTCAGGCACTATTTTACATTGCGCTTATTGTGCGGCCAGCCGAAAGTGCCTTATTTTTCAAAAGAATAACAGCAATGTGCAGCATACTATTTCTTTCACATGGTGTTGAATTCATCTATTTCAAAAGGATCAGAGGAATGTGACTGATTAAAATTCAAATTCATGACTCTGAGACGGCGAGTTCGGTCTCAGATCAAAAACTGTTACTCTGACTTTCGCATGTAATATAATATCAATAATCCCTGGTGAACAACCCTTTCTGCAGCATGTGCGAATTAAACTGCGTACTAGTGGACTTCGATAATTTCCGCTTCTATAAATTATACACACTATTTAAATCGTACAGAAAGCTAAGGAATGCGAAATTAACAGGTTAACCGAAGCCGTGCCTACAGCAAACAAAATTTTAAGAAATCTACCTGCTGACAAAGAAGCTGTGCTCGTTTCGATGCAGTCGTCAGCAGTGATAGCTACCTTGTCGTTTTCGGAGTTCTTTTTCTTGGACGAGGAGAGAAAGTCAGTCAGCACATTGTTCCAATTCTGCAGGCACATGCACAATCGGTGGCGACACATGTCGAGCATGTCGTTCAGCCACCAGTAGTTGTCGTCGTCGCTGGTGATGTACTCGCAGTTGACGTCAAACGAGCGGAATTTTTCCTGCCATTCCAGCCTTGCCTCCTCCAGATCGTTCTTACCGCACTCGGCGATCGTCTGGAGGTCGCCAACTAATTTCTGACCGTAACTCCGCGCGAAACTGCCGTCGTTATACGACTTCAGCGATGAGATGGCGTTGAACATCTCACAGAAAATGTCTCCGCTTCGGTCGCAAACGAACGCCATCTTTTGTCGAAAGGAGGCGCACAGTTTCTGAAAAGCCAACGAAAATAGTAAATACGAAACGATATGAACGCCAAAAGTTCCAAACAATAAAATTTTGAAGAAAGATCTAGAAAAGTTGCGACTTCCACGGCTTAACAGGAAGTGCTTGCTGATCGAAATCAAAATACATCAGTCCTTCTTCGTGTCTATCAAAGTAAACGACGTCATGGAGTACTGCAGAATGCGTCAACTATCAGCTAGTGCAAGCGCCTGTGCAACGCTACATTTAAAGGCGTCTTAAGTTCTGTTGCTTTGGAAGCAACACTTTTGTAACAGCTATGTACACTGTTTCGAAAAGACATATGCAGGCTATTAGGTCAATAGATTACGATAAGACCCGGTTACAAGCCTGGGCATGTTCATGAGTACTTTCCTGAAGTCTGCAATGAGGCACTGCCTTACCAGTACTACCAGAAATCAGAGGCATAAGCACGGTAATAATCGTTAGTTTTAGATTAATAATCGTCAGTTTAAGTGCCAGTCTTCAATCGAGGGGCGGAATAAAATTTCTTACCAACTGCAAGTTTCCTTAAATAAGGAATCATAAAGTACTTCACGGTGCTCTTGAGCTAATGGAGAGTAAATGGATTCTGTTTAATATTTGAACCGAGAAAGGAATGTTTCCACAAAAATCCATATGTGCCTTGGTCGATCAGATCGCTGTTATTATACTGCACAGAAACCACAGTCCAAACGAAAGAGAAGCAGCAACTGCTGAATAACGCACAACACAAGGGTTCGACGCATAATGAGGGTTAAATCGCAAGAACATGTAAAGAATGACACTATTCTTCCAGGCATATATGATTTAAGTTGATACTGATATTACGAAAAACAGGTTGGTCTTGTTAGACAAACTGGCTGAGCATATACGATTTACTTACACCTATGAGCTTAATTGGTGGGAGCCGAAACGCGGTAGACCTCGACAAGGGGATTAGCGTATAACATGGCTGAGTATGATAGAGGCAGACCTATTTTTGAAGAAGTATTTAATTATACGATGTAGTAACCCGTGACTTAGAGCAGAAATATTGGAAAGCTGTGAATATCGGAAAACGCACGTCACAGATCATGGATATTCTGCTCATGAAGATGGCACCAGATGGTAGTCACAGCAATGAGCATTTCGAATGGTGGTTACTTCAATTTCTACTCGCTCTGAGCTATCCAAAATGATTACACGATGATGCAAGGAAGCGCTGTCGTACGCTGTTGTGTCCACCTAGCTACAGACATTACTTTTATAAATAAATAATGCACTTTATGATGACATAGTAACGCTAGTCAACTTGCACGAAATCTTCCAACGATGCTAGAAATGGTATGCGCAAAACGGGATCATTGATCAGAATGATCAAGTTGCGCATAACCGGATCTAAACACTACACTGTTTCACCTGTCAGAAAATGATCTACTTGCTACCTGCTTCTCAGCTGGCTTGGCCAGAGTGACTAAACTGTGCTGCTACTATCGAAACTAAACAATTGTTTTGCAAATCTCATTCAGCAGTGATTAAACTAACCAATCAGTTATTACGTACGCTTTGCAGAGAATGACAGTAAACCTTGACATGATCACACCAGAGAATTACACTGCCCGTTTTGAGCTTAACATTTCTAACATCCGAGGAACTTTTCATTCAGATTAGATCAGTCTTACTTTGCCATTAGACCAGCAGAGCGCATTATTTCTGAAGGTAATGTCAGCCAGGTGGCCACTACAGCGTATGACAACCCTTTCCCGAAATATCGTGTAACTATTTAGAATAGTTCAGAGCAAGAAGAAATGGAGGTCACTTAGCTGGGATTCGAATCTGCGACTATTCGACCGAGTCTGGCACAATGCGAACTGAGATTCCGTGATCACGAAGCAAAACATCAACTTAAATCATCTGAGACCCAATTTTTAGAGATCATAAAAGGGATGTAATCTGACATTTCTAATTCTAAGTGTTGACGATACCTTTCTTTACGCAATCTGGATGATTAGAAGAGTGATGCAGATACTTATCAGTATGCGTCT